AAAATTGATAATTCAAAAGAAAAATAATTAGAGAAGATTGGAATTATAGAAAAGAAATTGACTTTGTTTGTAAAGTTAAGGTTGGACCATATGAGGGTCGATGAGAAATGTTGATTAACTGGACCACCTGATTTATTCATGTCATAATCTCAAGTGGTACAGGCAGCAATACCAATTAATAATATACCTTTCATTATACACCACATAACAGCTCATATATCTCATCTTGACAATTCCAACTCATATTGGTGGTCTGGTCCATTCAATACCCCAAAGAAAACACTATGCAACTGCCACTCTTTAATCACTTTCAAATTAATCACATAAAATCATGTCCATAACTGCTGTGACTGCAAATACACCTATCCAAGTCCGAGTGGGTTATTCTGTGATGTATCATGCATGTCCCAGAAATGATTTTGAATGAGAAAGGTTAAGGTGTTTTTTTTTTTTTTTTTTTTTTTTTACGCACACTTTAACTAATCTCATAAGATCCTGAAATTATTGATTGGATATGAACTCTAGTAATCACCCTTATTAATAATCATGGGGACTTAAACTTGGAAGGTTAATGTTTAAAGTGATATGAAAAGTAAATAGGACGTTGTTTTGTTTAGAACATGTGGGTATGATGTAAATAAAGAATCCAACGGTATAATAGCAAAGCAAATCAAACATATCCAAAGGATCGCCATTTTGGAAAAGGATGTAAAACAGCAGAAGATAGAAGATCCGCCTACCACTACCAATATAAGAAGAACAATCAAAGATCAGCTCCACTGCTTTGTGTGTATATATATATATATATATTTTTTTTTTTTTTTGAAATTATTTTGTTTGGCTTTTTTCTTTTTTGATGAGTGGCTGTGGCTGTGTGTGTATGGAGACTTAACTTTACACTTAAATGATTTTTAATTAGAATCTCCACACCAACATTACCACCACCACCACCATCAACTTTTGTAAACTACAAGCTAACACCTCCCTTTGCCACCGCGTGCACTTGTAGCCTTAATTCCTAAGTATTTGACTTATTTTATTCTTCTTCTCTTAAAAATTACTTTTCCTTTCAACGTTAATCATGTCTTTTGCTAAAAATATATTTTTTTATTTTTACTGCTAAAGACGTTAGCTTAATTAGTATAAATCGGATCTTTCTAGTGGATTTTTTCCTTTTCTTTTTGCATTGAACTTGTACAATATATTGTCGTTCTCAAATATCATGCTCAAAGTGGAAGAATATTATGTTTGAAATTATGTTTATTTGATTTTGTAGATAATTAAATAGAAATTTACATAAAAGAGCAAAAGAAGATCTAACATGATCTCTTAAGTTCGAATCTCATTGGTAAAAGAGTAAGTGAAAAATCTAATATAATCTCCAAAGAAAAATATCTAACACGGTCTTTAAAGTTTGAGTCTCATTAAAGGTAAACGAATAAGAGGAAGATTTAACATGGTCTCCTGAGTTTGAGTCCCCACAGTTGCTAATAGGGATAGCCATTAGAGTTCGTATATGATACGTAGTTCTAAGGTCTCGGGAGATTAATTGAGATGCGCACAAACTGACCTAAACACCGTGATCATAAAAAAAAAAAATTGCATAAAAATTCTGGTTTAAAAACTAATATTAGTGCCTCTTTGTAAAGCCTTTTAACTTCTTTTTGTACCTTATTATTATTAATTACCCTCCATTGACCATGGCATCAAAGAGGCTTTTGCATTGGCCTTTACACGTACTAGAACTAATGATGATATACTCAAAATAAAATTTTCATTGATTCCTTCTTATATTAAAGGATTGCCAACATTTAGATTTAGTGGCATTGGATCCCTTAAAAAAATGGGTTCACACCATATAACTATAAGATATTACTTTTAAAAAATATAAAGTATGCCACCAATTTTTGCAAAAGTAGAGTATATTGAACATATTAAGCAATGACATAACATTATTTATGTAAGCTTGATTACGACACGAGTTTTACAACACATTAATATAATTAAAATAAAGAGTAAAGTATATGTTTCTAGATATCGGATTTAATATCTCATAATTATTAATTAATTAAAATTTCTTGGCTGAGAGCCTGAGACTGAGAGTGAAAAGGGTTTAAAACATCTTTTTGTATGTGGACAAGCTTTTATCTTAAAGGTGGAGATAGTTTGTTTCTTTCTAGTAAATAAATGGACGGATGGATTTTGATTTTATCATCCATCCATCAATCAATCAATCAATAATGCAAAATATGACCCTTCACCATTTCAAGATCAAAGGAACTTATTCTCTTCTTCCTTTCTCTCTCTCTTGTCGTGGCCATGGGCAAAGGCTATCCTACGTGGGCGTGTTTTTAACGCGCTGACTATACATGCATATCCGACAAAAGCCGTCCCAAGTGGGTCCCTAACAAAAGACATATCCATCCAATCATATCACACTTACGGACAACCATGTGAATTTTTGGTGGGTCCCACTTTCAGCACACGTCAACAACAATTCTATATAACCTTTTTTTAAAAGAAATTTTTTAACTTTTTTTTTTCTTTTTCTTTTTTTAAATTTTTCGTGTGAACCGTTTGGCGATTCTTGAGTGAAGAGGTAGGGGGAGAAGATCAATTAAGATTTTTAGTGAATTATTTAAAAGATTCTGATTTTGATCTATTTGGATTATTAATAAGAATAATCACTTTGGAGATTTATCTGATTATTAATTTCAGGATCTTAAAAAATTAGTTGAGATATACGTAAGTTAGTCTGAACATTCTCGATCATTAAAAAAAAAAAAAAAGATAATGAGAGATTTGTAATTGAAATATTTAGGTACCCACTAACTTTTAGGGATGATCCAACGATGGATACTCGATCAACTCTTTTTCTCTTTAGGATGCATCTCATCTAAAAAAATCTTTACTGTAAGCGTAAATTCAAGAGAATATTTCAGTAAAGATGTGAAATGGACCTGTTAGGGTTAGGGTTTCTTTTTTGCATTATTTAGTAAAAGGAATAATATATTTTCATATCTTTCTATTTTAGTTTTTCGTAAGTTTAACATTATTTCTATTATTCTATACCCTATTTCTATTTGGTTAATTAATTAAGAAGTTTAATAAAGTAGGTTCTAAGACTGGTCCATACTGTGAAAGTGATGTGACTACAGGGAGAGGAGGTGGTGTCTCTTTCTTTTAGCTTTCTATTAGAACTTTAGCGGGGCCTGGTTATAATGGAGTTGGACCAATGGAACTTCAATGGAACTTTAACGCTCGCGCTTTGACTTGTTTGTCGTTTACTGCTTGAAAACTACATTTGTGGCTTCTATTAGGTTGGAACTCTATTATTTTTTAATTTAATTTGAATTATTTTTTCATTTCTATTTCTGACTTATTTTTTCATTTCTATTTCTGACTTATTTTTTTAGGGTTCTGAATCGTCCCCTGTTTCTTTCAATAGGGTTTGGGATAAACAGGGTCTCTTTAAAAGAAGACAAACCAGACCAGTGTGAATGGCGATCAAATTTGTTCGGATCTCTATCCTTCCTCCTGTATACTCTTGTATCATGTGTGCAATGGAATCATACAAAGTGTATTAAAATATATTTCAAGTGATTTGACAAAATCTACTAAAGTTATTTGAAAGCATAAATACTAATTAAAAAGAGTAAATGACATATTCCTACCCAAGATTTGACGAAATCCTAACTTGATACCCCAGGTTATATTTAATCCAGATTATCACCCTTAAAGTGATAGAAAAATATTTGATGTAACGGTAAAGGGGTAAATTCGTCATTTTACATGGGCGGCATACGTTAGCAGATCGCCGCCTCTAACAATCCTCCGACCCACGTTAGCAGACGGTGTCCCCGACGTTTTTTGCCTTTTTTTCGGCGATTCTTCCACCCAAAATCTCCCTTGTCACCACCATTTTAACCCTTATCCTCCCTTCTACAAAACCATACCCTTTACAACCCCTCATCACTCGCTGATCGCTGGCCATGGCAGCCGTGACATGAGACTGGTTTTTGTCAGTTTTCAGCCGTTTTGAATGGTGACAAGCCCAACCACCACCACCATTTGACTCCTCGCATCCTCCCCTACAAAACCTCTAACCTTCCCAGCCACGACAGCTCACCGTTTGCCGTACACCACTTCACCATAAAATGACTGATGAGCACAAACTCTCGGCCGACAAATGGCGATGAAATGGTTGTTGGGGACATAGGGGTTTTATAGATTTGGAGATGGTGGTTGCAGTGATGGTGTCCGATTGGATTTTCGTCGTTGGAATCGATCGGAATCCGACGACGAACATCGAAACCCTAAGCCTAACGGCGTCGACGATTGGAGGGGCCAATGAGTCGGGAACCATAGGAGTTTTGGACGACGGACTACAGGGAAGGTGATGGAGGTGACCAAGGGGTTTGACGGCATCGAAAACAACCCAGACTGGGCTGTTTTCGACGAGGGTGTGTAGTGACTGAGGGTGTTTTTGACATAATTTGAAAATAAAATGGTAAGTTTATAATTCTACTAATTTAGGGGTTAAAACATAATTTATTAATTTAGTGTTAAGGGCATTATGGTAATTACACCCTCTAAACCCCCTAATTGATAATATTGTTATTTTAAGGGTGAGAATCTGGAATAAATATAATCTGGGTACTAACTTAAGATTTTGTAAAACCTTGGGTGGGAATATGCCCTTTACTTAATTAAAAATTTGAATCCTAATTGGATTTGGAACTATTTCCATTTCACCTCACATCGTCTCTCAAATCTTCAAGAAGAAAAATCTACTTCATAATTATTAATTTTTGTTTTAAGTAAAAATATAAAATTGAATATTGTTTGTTTGATGACGCAAGAAAAGGAGGCCCTACAAGGTAGCTAGCTGAGCAAACAAAAAATGAAACTGCGAATCCCAGAAAGCAAAATCAAAGCAGTGACGTGAATTAGAAGCTTCAAATGAGATAAAAGAGTAGTCTGACCCGTGTCCAACCATGTCTCTCATGTATGCCTTAATCCCATCTCCATACTACACCCCATGCACACACGCAAAGATAAAAAGCCCGCAATCATAACCATGAAAAGCCCCCCTCCCCACCATCTTAATTGCTCTAATCAACCACTCTATCCTTGTTTGAGAGACCTCCATAATTTTTTTTTTCTTTTTTTTTTCTCTTCGCTATGAGGGTTCCAGTTAAACCAACACAAAACAACAACCCAAAGCCAGCTTTTTTCAACACCTCAAACATAGCTCAAAACATAAGTTTTGGTACCAACCAAACTAACCGTGGTTCTAACTCATGCTATGAACCAACTTCTGTTCTTGATCTTCGCCGGAGCCCAAGCCCTGAAAAACCTGCCACTGCAACCGACACTTGCACCATTCAAGACCCTCCTCCCCCTGAGTGGGAGGAGCATGTCATGCGAGCCATGGACTGGGATTCAATCATGACGGAGCTGGGTTTAGATGATGATTCTGTTCCTACTTTCAAGTGTAATCCTCAGTTACCTCGCTGCGAGCCTCAAATTCAACAACAATTCACTGAGTTCACTTCTTGTCAGCCACTTGATTCCACTCCACTTCTTCATTCTGATTTTAATTTTAATGTTCCTGACATCAACCTAAACCAGAATCAAAGTTTTAGTAATTTTGAGTTTCCTAACAATTTCCAAAATACTAGTGCCAACTTGAACGTGGGGTTTGATTGTATAGAGGAGCTAATCCGTGCCGCAGACTGTTTCGACTCGAATGAATTACAACTCGCTCAGAGGGTATTGGCGCGGCTCAATCAAAAGCTGAAGTTACCGGTTGGTAAACCACTCCAAAGAGCCGCGTTCTTCTTCAAAGAAGCTCTCAACTCACTCCTCATCGGGTCAACTCGGCCAACTCGCCTCTCTTCCATTTCCGAAATTATACAATCTATCAGAGCCTACAAGGCCTTCAGTGGGATCTCTCCCATCCCCATGTTCACTCAATTCACTTCCAACCAAGCTCTTCTTGAATCCCTTGAAGGATCACCACCGTTGGTTCACATAATAGATTTTGATATCGGATTCGGTGGCCAGTACGCCTCTTTCATGAGAGAATTAGCTGAAAAAGCGCAGTCTTGTAATAAAATGATGAACCCGACATCTCTTCGTATCACGGCTATAGTACCTGAAGAATACGTCCCCGAAACAAGACTGATCAAAGATATTCTTATTCTCTTCGCTCAAGATCTCAGAATCAGGTTCCAGATCGAGTTTGTGCTTGTCCGTACTTTCGAAATGTTATCTTTCAAAGCAGTTAAGTTCATGGACGGTGAAAGAATAGCCGTTGTTCTATCTCCAACTATATTTCGGCGTCTAGGTACAACAAACAACGCTGTGGGGTTTGTCAATGATGTGCGACGACTTTCTCCAAGTGTGGTGGTATTCGTAGATAATGAAGGGTGGACAGAGTCTGGAGCAACGTTGTCTTTTAGAAGGAATTTCGTGAACTATCTTGAATATTACTCGATGGTGTTCGAATCCCTTGATGCAGCGATGGGTAGTGGTGAGTGGGCGAGGAAAATAGAAATGTATTTGCTGAAACCGAAGATAACTGGGGCGGTTGAGGGGGCATTGAGGCGCGTGGCACCATGGAGAGAGTTGTTTTCAGGGGCGGGAATGAGGCCGGTGCATCTGAGTCAGTTTGCAGATTTTCAGGCGGAGTGTTTGCTAGGGAGGGTGCAGGTGAGAGGGTTCCAAGTGGCTAAACGCCAAGCTGAGTTGGTGCTTTGCTGGCATCAGTGGGCCCTCGTTGCCACGTCGGTATGGAGGTGTTAGATAGGGGTAAAATGGGTACTTAGGTAGTAGAGTACTTGGGAGCAAATGGGGTGGAAAGGAATTTAAATATATTCCAACCAATTAATTTGTTTCGTGCTTGGTTTTTTGTTTCTTATTTTATGGCTGTTGACTGTTGTATTGCTAGAAAGAAGGTTGGATATGGATATTGCCCAAGTGTCTCTGTTTTTAGTTGAATTTTTTTTTTTTTGGGGATTAATGTAACGTCTCCTAAGTCCTAACCAAATGCATTTGGGGGAACTATCTATAAATATAAGGGAACTTCTCTAATTATTAAATCAAAATTCTTCAGTATTTTGTGCAATGGAAATAGCCATTGTGATGTAGCTTATAATTTTTTTTTTTTTTTTGGGTCACTGAAGGTGTTTGGTTAGTTTGAACATATCTCAATTAATCCTTAGAGGTCTTAAAGTTGATGATCGGATAAATTTCTAGAATGATCATCCTGTTAATAACCTACATGCATGGAACTTAAAACCTAATATATCCAAAAATCATGGACTCCTTGTTGACAGCAAAACTAAATATGTGACAGCAAAATCCCAATGTTGGTTGTAGCTTATAAATTCCTTAACATACAAAACTAAATATATGACAGCAAAATCCAAATTTATTCTCTCACATTAATGTATGAAATGATGCCTTGTCTAAGTGTGATTTCGTTATAATTGCTGATTTATTATTGATAATTACAAAAAAAGAGACAGAGGCCATACAATCTAATCAGGCATCAAAATAATGTGATTTATCTTTAAGTTAAATCATGACACAGATATTCTCCTTACTTTCTTCCCGTTAATGATTATCTGCAGGTGTTATTCACAATTACACCCCCTGAAAGTATCTATAAACCTTTGCCCCCAGAAAGTTCGGACTAGCTGTTTACGCCCCATACCTGGGTTATGAACCAATACACCCCTGAAGGTATCTACGAAGATATTTGCTCCCAGAAAGTTCGGATTTGCGACTAACACCCCCTACCGTCTAGTTTTGACGTTAAAGATGTGATGGAAAACCAAGTTTGATTATTGTAACCCATGACTTATTGTAGCTTGACCATTTTACCCCTATAAAATTATCATTGATGAAAATCTTAGGATTTACCTCAAAGAGCAAAGTGATGTAGCTAACCATTCTATTTAGTGCCTGCCACGAAACTGTATACCGTAACAAAAAATGTTCGATTTAATTTATGTTTAAGCATATTTTAAAATCTCAATAAAAATATATTTAAAATATTCTTTTAAAAATTACCCAATAAAAATTATGATAAGAAAATGTATTTTTTATAATATTATTTAATTTTTGTGGAAAAATATTTAAAGTTTTGTAGACGTAAAAATCTACCTGTACGAAAGGGGGGTCTGATCTCGTGAGGTTGAGGTCACTAGCGATCCGCTGCACTTGCACACGTAGAGAAACAAGTGCGTAAAGCGAACGGAAAACGTCAGGGTGGTGTTTGCCGTATGCACTACTACGTTCAAGTCAGCAAGGCTGAAAGAGACTAATTTAGTGAGGACTAGGGAGTAGAGAGGTTACTGAAAGTCTAGTCGGGGACTATGACTACGACAGTGATGTGTAGCTCTCAAGTAGGAGCTCCGGGTGAGAAGGTGTAATGTAATCTCCCTTCTGAGAGGGCTGACCCCTGCTTATATAGTGACTGTCTGGTCTCCCAATCCTGGTGAGAGTAGGAGTCCTCGTGTGATTCTGATACGAACCCTAGAGGAGTTAGGGCGGTGGTGAGTTGTCTTACCAGCGTTCGAATAGGAAGGTGATCCCGAACAAGAAAGTAATTTCGAGTAGGAAAGTGATCTGAATATGAAAGTGACCTCGAATAGGAGGTTGATTTGGAATAGGAAAGTGATATGTGGGGGTCATGGGCTCTGAACTCGCTCATAGGTCTAGGAAGTGAGCTGGGATTGGGAGGCCTGTGCCCAGATAATTTGGGCCGACTATATCTCGAATCAAATGGGCCTACACCGGGATTGGGCCTTGCCTCTTCCACACAATCAAGCCCGTTTTCCTATTTGGGCCAAGGGCAATTTTTGGCCCTAACAAGTTTACTATTATTTTTATTAAAATACTTTTATAGAATTTTAAATATTTTATATTTATAATTAAATATTTAATGTAAGATAACAAATATTAATTTAAATATAGTAAGTTTAGTGATTTTAAATATCAAATATTTTACAGGTATTTGAAATATATTAAATTTATATTTTCAGTATTATTAATTATTAAAATTAATAATCAAATATTGATTTAAGTATATTAATTTGATAATATTAAATATAAAATAGTTTTACGGAAATTTTCAATGTAGTATGTTATTTTTCAAATTTTGTTTTTAGATTATATGATGCAAGGCATTAGTATAATAATATTGTTGTCTTTAGCCAAGTGGTTAATAACTTAATATGTTTTGTTTAACTGATTATTGTGGTCTTGGTTCGAGTAAGCAGTGTAACATTTTAAGCATTGATAAATTGAACTTCAAATGTCTAAGTTACCCTTTCTTCCATCCATTTTAACGTCAAAAATAGACTGCAGGAGGAGTAAGTGACTATTTCAGAGCTTTCTGGGGGGCAAACTCTTCTGGATGCTTTCAGGGGATGTAATCGATAACCATAAAAAAAAAATTGTAGCCATGTTAAAGTTCAAATAATATTTATACAAGGATTACTGTATAATTATAAAAATACTGTATGTAATTATAAAAAAAACTTAGGGAGCATTTGGTTGGAGGTTATATGGGATTATTGGGGTTAAGTCATCTTATATTATTTGATTACTATGCTTGGTTGTCAAGTAATATAAGATTCTGATAATATTCAAGTACCAATAGTGGTTATTGTTAGTAATATTGGAGGTAATCTGATTATCTCAATTTTCTTAGGTATTGTAAGATTACTTGGATAATCTTTTTTATTACAATTTTATCCCTTATTAATAAAATTTTAAGACAATAATACCCTTATTTTTAAATTTATTTACATGAATCTTGCTTTTATCATTTCACCCCAATTAATTAACTTTTTGGACAAAATTACCTTTGAAATCAAAACAAATTTTCGTTTACCCAAGCCACCACCCCTACCCACCTGGTGTCGCCTGCCGCCAGCCAAACCACCGCCGGCTAGACCCGGCAAAACGGGCGGGTGGGCTGGGTACGGGTCGGGTCGGGTCCAAACGGGTACGGGTCGAGGTATACGGGTCCAAAATATTGGACCAATACCCTATCCTATATGGGTACGGGTGGACCCGCGGGTACCCGTTTTTTCCTCTCCAAGTTTTTGTTTTTCTTTCACCCCTAACAATTTTCAATTATAACAATTACACCCCCAAAATTCCTACAATTTTAATTTTTTACATTTACACCCCCTAAATCAACTACTGTAAATGCAATTCAATTTAGAATATAAACAAATAGGAACCAAAATAAACAAACAATAACATATAATACAAAACTACAAATACCAACCAAAATAAACAAATACATAATCGTTAATACACAATTACACATAAACAAACAAAACAAATCAATAAATTATAAATATCAACTAAAATAAACTAATATATAATCCAATATTCAAGTACAAACATTCTTAGGACAACAAATGTTCATCCCACAGTAGAGGTGATAGAGTCTCTTGATTCCATAGTCCCGAGATTAGTTAATGACACATCAAAATCATCATCTGAATCATCATTCACCTCATTATCTATAAAACAATGATCAACTACAAATATTAATACATGTAAATAATAAAATATATGAAATATTCTAATTAAATAGCACCAAAATCTAAAGCATTTTCAATCCTTGAAAACATCTTCCACTACTCAAACTCCTAGTCATTCTAAAATACAATTCAAAACTATCTAATGCACACCAATTTGGACACCCTTCTCCAGTAACTTAATTACAAGATGTTTGACTTTGACCAACAACTATGTTCCCATTTTAATGATACAATGGATCGATTTCTAGTAAAAAACTTGTACGAGAAAAATGTTAAAATCTCCAGCACATTGACGGTAATCATGCAGTCATCAATGTCTTTTTTGCCCAAATCATATTTCAATACTATCTACAACTCACTTGCATAATGAAGCAAACATAAAGTGATTAAAGGATTTACAAACTCATCCACAGAAAAGGCAAAAGAATGATATCCTACCATCCTGGGAATTGTGTGAATGGTAAACTATATTGACTCCCCAGACCCATGGCTTAAGAACAATCTCACCACTTAGTTTTGGAAACTGAAAACATCACCTCGATTTTTCAAGTTCAGAAGTTTAATTTAACTAAACAAGGGTATTAGTATCATTTTGTCTATACATATAACATTAAACATCATAAACCATTCATGCTTACTTTAAAATTAATCAATTATGGGCATAATAAGTGGATGAAAAAGAGAATAATGTTATATGGATGACAATCTACCTGTCCTACCCTTCAGGACTTTTACTAACGGCTATGTTTACCAATATGTTATCAATTTCCAAGTTTCAGAGAAGATGGAATCCAAACATAACTTTATGAGGACAATAAGATGCGGTCCATGCTATTATATAAGAACTCTGAATCCAGTTTAACTCCAACCCTTCTTCATGGAAATTTTTTTCTTCAACAGAAAATTTGATATTGAATTTAACTTAAACAGAGAAAGACTGTTGTACCAGGGACTTTTGAATCTTGTAAAAGGGATACTGCCATAAAGACACCTGCCCTGGCTTTCTAGTTCAAAATTGCTTCTACCCCTCCTTAGAATAGGCTTCTTGTCATCTCATATGCCATACAATGAAACGTTACCTCCAAAAATGATTTTGTTGAAGAATTCCGGAACAAACAGAATACCTTGTACAAATATATGATAAACAATTTTCTCAAAAATTCAACCTTTTAACTTATTTAACATTCCACTTTATATAGATAGTTTAGGAAGTTCCCTATCACAAGATTTAGAAGTTTCTACATCAATCTGCAGTTCTCATCATTCTCTTTCGATTTCCAGAGACAGGTTACTGAAAGAACACCCCCTGACCTGACTTTTTTCTTCCAGGTTGTGTCTCTCTCCTTAGACTAAGGCTCTTGCGTACCCCCCAAAATAAATATCTAAATCGTATAAAATGTTAATCAGGGATTTGTGCTCAATAATAGATCACAGATATCAAGTTAATAATAATATATCATCTAATAATACAAAAGGTGATTGAATAGCCTTAGCTTCAACATAAATATGTGATATCTATAGCTTTTTAGGGCATTATGCCTAACAATAATTTCCAATAGGAACTAGGAAACCCAATGAGTCCTAAGGTCCCAAATTTTTTTATAAGCATAATCAAGGGATGAAGACACAACTATATAACACTACAAGGTGTAACAGAAGATAAATAAGGCAATTGATGGTTTGATCTCAAAACCTAGCTACCTGATGGGGGTAAAGGCTTGTCCTTCACTAACGACGACAGAAAGAGGAGATGACGAGCCGACGAGGATGAATGATGGCGATTGGCAACGGTGGGTCTGGGAAGGGGATCACGGTTCACGGATGAGAACACTGAAGTGATGACTGATGATGACAGTGACGAGTGATGAGAGTCTACTGAACTGAACACTGAATAGAGTGATGAGATGAGAGACTGAGAGAATGAATCAGTGACAGTGATGAGAGATTCAGAGGCGAGAAAGAAGAGAAAGTTTGTTTTAGAGTTGGGTGGAGTTAGTGGGTTAGGGACTTAGGGTTTAGCTTTGAAAAAAAGGGTACCCGCGGGTTTACCCGTGTAACCTGTCAAGAAACGGGTCGGGGCGGGTACAGGTGAAAATTAAACGGGTCCAACATATTAAACCCATGCCCTATATTTTTTATCCGGGTACGGACCGACCCGCGGGTCTAAACCCGTTTTGCCAGGTCTACCGCCAGCCGCCGCGGGAAGTCACTTGTAGTTGTCGGGAGTAGCCCATCATCACCAGGAGGCTTCACTATGGCTGTTTCTGGCCATATTGATGGCCGAAAAGGCCATATCGGGAGCAGATCTAGCCGGAAATGGCCAGATCTATTCTGCCCATTTCCGGCTAGATTGATGGGTCAAGCTGTTAACAGCTAGACCCTTGGCCTTTATCGGCCATATCTGAATGAGATATGATTGTTAATGGCCATGGATCTGGTCGTTAACGGCTAGATCTTACCCAGATCTGGCTGATAAAGGCCAAGGGTCTGGCCGTTAACGGCTAGACCCATCAATCTGGCCGTTAACAGTTAGACCCATCAATCTGATCGGAAATGGCCAGATCGGCTCCTGATATGGCCTTTTTGGCAATCAATATGGCCAGAAACGACCATATCGGGGCCTCCCGGTCATGGTGGGCTGCTCACTGCGACTTCCGACAGTGGTTTGCGGTGGCGGCAAGCGGCGACAAGGTGGTGGGGATGAGTTTGTTATAAATTAAAGTTTTATATAAGCGAGAGTGTTTTAGCTAAATTTGAAATATTGGGGGTTAAAAAATTATTTAAAAATTAATAATAAAAATAATATTATATTAATATTTAAAAAGAGGATAATTTAGTAATTTAAATAACATACCCACTAATTTATTCCTCCTGAAAAAACATATTAATATAACATACCTACCAATTTTTTCTAACTAATCAAACACAATTTCTTAAAGATTCTCAGTAATCTTCAAGGTAATATAAGATTCTAGTAATCCAATATTCCTAGTAATCTAACATTCTCTGAACCAAACGCACGCTTATAACCATATTATCCGGTCCCGGTCAAGATTGATTAACAAAACTAAAAATATATTTTCAGGAGGGGTAATGGACAGTCAACAATGGCATGGCAACATAGTGTTAAATGTTAATACATATAGTTTATTCTGCTCTTTTATCATCAAACCATTCAGTAGTGGTTCACACCTAGCCTTCTTTTTTCAGTTTTCATATGATCGGGGGGGTGTTAGCTTGTGTGAACCTCAACTAATTTATGGGGCATATTGAACACCTTACAAGCCCAAGTTTATATGTATCTCAACTAATTTATGGACCTATTGAACACCGTACAAACCTAAGCTCACATGCACCTCAACTAATTTCCGAAACTTATTGAATACCTTACAAACCCAATATTACAAGATAAGCTACAAACGTGGTTGGTGACCCAAGATAGTTCAAACCACGAAGTGAAAAAGAGAGTAAATATTTTTGACCATCAGACTAATCCTTTGGAGTTATTCACACCTAGCCCTGTTCTAGTTCAGTAAGCTTATGGGCTCCTACATATTTGTACATTATGTCATTTTTTGATTGGTTCTAATTATTATGAAAGCTTTGCAAATAAATCTATGTCAAATTCTATACTTGATAACCCTTATAATAAAAATTTTAAAGGCGTTACTGGTATGAAACCAAAATGTTGTTCCAAATTTTTTCAATGTTAAATATTAACCTTAAATACAAACGAAATACCGTAATTCAATTAATGAAGCAATTAATACTCATGCGTCATATCACAACATGGAAATAACAAAAGAACTAAATTTTAAGCGCTACGACGCCGTTTGTTTTGAAATCCAATATATAATGGTTAGTTAATTAATTTTAGAATCATAAACACAGTAAAGGCGCTATTCAAATGGACGTTCTCGGACTCGGATCCACCCTAACGAAGGAGGTGACTTTTCGGTTTCTTATTCTTCCTCTTCGCTGCAAAATTTCGTTAATCGTTAGTCTAATTATACAAATATATTGAGATCACGCTACAAGTTTTTATGTATTATTTAAATTTCGATGCCATTTGATGTAGGTGGGGTTACGATTGCTCCTTTGCCCATTCGGTTCGAACGTTGTAATTCGAACAGCGTGGTAAGTTTTCGTTAATTTATTCTTAACTCTTTTGGATTAATTAATTTCTTTTCTTGTTTTAGGAGTCATTCTATTTTGTTTGTTTCTGGGAATGTTGATGATTGTTAATTAATTATGGTATTGACTGTGGTTTTAATACTTGTTTGCTTTTTCAGCTGTTCTGTGGGTATTGTTTTACCAGTATATTCAACATTCAAGGCAATTGAAAGGAAAGATCAAGATGATCAACAAAAGTGGCTCATATATTGGGCAGGTCAGAAGTTTCTCTGTGTTATTATTTCAATTACTATGTTATTTGAGTTTTTCTTGGTTGATATCCATAATTTTTTAATTGTGAATTTTTTTTTTGTTTGATGCAGTAAATTTTCTGCACTTTTGTGTCCTATGAAGGCGTTCTTTATTGTTAATACTTGTGCAGGCCATATTTCTTGTAATGTTTTGTCACTCTTATGAGCTCATATCTCTGTTATTAATATTAGAGGGAATGTATTTTTGGTTTTGCACAGATCTTGCAACGTGATAAATGGCTCATTTATTCATGATGATCTCTGAATAGTGCTTTTGGGAAGGCCCTCATTTCCTACCTACATATGAGGAAGATCAAGGACGCTTTTAGTTGAATGGCTATAATAATCTGTTAGTCACATTTCATGAAGTGGAATGTTGAAATGTGTAGAATTTGACCATAGCATAAAGCAGAAAGGCTAAAATCAAAATGAGCTACTCATTTCTGTTGACTGAACAGACACTGCAGTAAAGTAGGCTATTCTGGATTCAAATTGCCGGAGAGGATTAAATTATAAATTCAGAGTGCTTGTTAAATTAGGCCTGCTTTATGATTGAAATGATTATGAAGGCACAAAATTATTTAGGAGACAAACTACTGTTTAAGAATGTTCCAGAAACAAATTACAGAACCAATTTGGAATTATACAAAGGTAGCATTGTCATTTGATAGTTGATGTGTAGAATCTACAAGTTCTGACCATTATGCTTTGATTGTGTTCATCTTCTTGCTTCTTAGTCTCAATCATATTTGTTAATCTCATGCATGTGTCTCCAGATTAATAAATAGGGAATGTAGCAGAATACGTTGTGGACCTATTGTCAGCATTATGGCCTTAACTGAACTTTCTAAACAGTTTCTCATGTGATTTGATTGATAACATTAACTTATAATTTCTATTTGATATTAAATCATTGCATGTAGTTTATCTTTGTGGTCTGAGGTACAGGGCATATTTTAATTACGTGAATGGCATTGTTGTTCTTTCATAATACATATCCTTCTCACCATTGCAGCTTATGGATCTTTCAGCATTGTGGAAGTGTTTTCAGACAAGCTTCTTTTTTGGTAAAGTTTTGAACCCTATCACCTTTTCTTTTACTTATGTTACAGTCAATGTAATTTTGAAAAGTTATCTAAGAAATCTATGCTTCGGTATTTGTATCGATGATTCATATCTATGTTACCTTGATTTTACTGTTGCAGGTTTCCCATGTACTATCACCTTAAATTTGCGTTTCTTGTTTGGCTTCAACTTCCATCTGCTGAAGTAAGTTATATATTTAGAATAAACTCAAATGGGGTAGAAAAATTGCTAATGACACCTTCGCATTTATAAAATCTATTTGTGCCCTTTGATAATATGCCCTCATTCTACTTTTGTTTGTTAGAATTTGCTTCCAGCACCTATGCTTAAGCATCCCCTGATAGCTGAATAAGTTGTATGGTTAATTTTTGGGTAATTTTTAATGAGAGAAAATTGTTTGCTTTTCTTCAGGGAGCAACAAAACTGTACAGGAACCATCTACGTCCATTCTTGTTAAGGCATCAAGCCAGAATCGATCAACTTGTGGGCTTCGCATATCATCAAATGGTATGTGGTGTTTTGCCATTTTCAATGTGGAGGGTTGAATACCATTTGGTTGATTTCAATAGTGTTCACTTAATTGTCAGGAAATATAGGAAATGAAAATATTTTGAACAGCTGATATGATTTTCTCGGCCACAAATTGGGTAGCTGCTGATAGAGAAGAATCTAGACAGGCTTAGAAGCTGGAATGAAGCTTAACATTCTATTAATGAAACAACCAGTGTTTTAAAACCCAACTCGAGGAAAAACCTGGCAAAGTGGTCGGGTCTTAGGTTGACTGGTTTAACTGGTTTGACTGGTGGGTCAAATCGGTGTCCAAAGATTTGAAATCCAACAAAAACACCCCTGAAAATTAATATAAACCCCTACAGGTTTGAAATCTTGCAAAAACACCCCAAACACCACCATCGGCATTGACAAATAGGGCCTGTTTCCGGCAACGACAACACTTCCCATCACCACGAAAACACTACCCTTAGCCTCCTGACTAGAACCCATCTTACCCTTCCCTCGTGCGCCTCTCCAATCACCAGCAACAACGGCCTTTTTCTGGCGACTTAGTTTTGCGATTTCTGGTCGATTCACTCACCGGATCACCTCCATCGCCATCATTCCACTCACTGGCCCTTTCTCTTCAAAACTGCTAACATCCCAGCCTTCAATTGTTCATAGATCTATATCCTAATTTCTAGGGTTTTCATGTAACCTGACCCGGTGAAGGCCCCGGATCCTTGTTGAACCAGTTCAACTGGCCGGGCAAGGCCGGGTTTTAAAACACTAGAAACAACCAATTTATACAAAGAAGTTTCCTTGAATTAAGGCGAGAACATGGGAAGCAAAATAATTGCTCCTCTAAATAACAGATCTAACAGTTATAACTAACAAAACGTCTCTTATAAACTGACTCCTCTGAACAAACTTAAGTCAGACTGTGGATTCAATTGACTTTCTTCTGTAAGCTTAACGGCCCCCCTCAAGCTTAGCTGCGGAGCAGCTGTAAGCTTGATCTGCTTTCCCTTTGTGGAGCTCTTGTTCATAAAACAAACTTTGTAACCAAGCCACTTCTGTTATTGTAAGTGCCAATGCTTTGTATTCGCCCCAGTTGAAGAAAGTGCAACCACTTTCTGTTTCTTAGAGCTCCATTTTGTGAGGTTAGGACCTAGAATACACAATATCCGCTTGCAGATTTTTGTATATTGCAGGCTGCTTGCCCAACCAGCAGCAACATATCACTCAACTTTGCTGCTGCTTTAAACTTAAGACCATGAGAAATTGAACCTCCTAAGAGCCCTTTTACAGGCCTACCAGTGCAGCTCAGTAGGAGCTTTGCAGAACTTGGCTCATTAGATGAAAATGATATATTAGTCCTTGTTACTGAAGGGCTCCTGCTGTGCTCCTGTTCATTGAAGGTTTATCAAATAAAAGGATTATCTTCAAAAACAAGGCACTATGTTGTATAATTTGGGTCCACTTTGGATATTCCTGCATGGGCATGCATTGCATTCTCAGATGAAATTAGATTATTTTGCTCAAATTTGCAGGCTAGAATTTTCAGCTCGCACCAAGCAGAATTTCAATTTGCAAAGACTGTACTCATGAAAATTATTGGCACAGGTCAGGGTTAACCTGTTTTTTCAGTGCTTGCTGGTCTGTTATTCTCACTAATTCCCCATTCTTTGCAGACTAAATTATTTTCATTTTTATTTTTTAAATTTTTATCAGCGGGCCTAATATTTAGGGGCACGGGTCAACAAGGCCACAATGAAATTGAAGGTCCTCCGAGTCCAATCTCGGATACACAGTCGGATCATGAGGATTGACAATTGTCATTAATGTTTTGTAACCTTCTTTTACTCGGTTGAGTTTAGTGTTTGTATTTCCTTTTGATAATCTACCCGTTGTTGAAGCACGTAGCATCTCTAAAGAAAAAATCACCCAAGATGCGGCGTGCTTGCTGCTATAGGTTTCATATTTCACACAACAAATGTTTTAGTGCATTACCTGTGTAAAGAATGTTTGTCTACCAGATTTACTTGGCAAATGAATTAGCCAAATCAGTTACTCTTTTGAGGGTTTTGACTGATTACTCATAAGCAAGCACTAAAGGTAGTATGCGATTAAACTTAGCAGCAAGTCAATCGTTTAAGTGTGAACTAAATCAAGCTACTCCATCTCTGTCAACTCCACTTGCCCACATTGTCAGTCCCTGGCCAAATAAAAAAATGAGCAGAGACTCGTTGCAATCCAATGAGTGGAATTAATCTTCAATTACTGTCGAAGTCGTTTAATAAACAATACCGTTACAAAGGTGGGGTTATGGGTATATATTAGTAAGAAAAATAAGTAGCTATGCTCAATAAAGCCAAGTTCACAAATTCCCAGAGATCCAGAAATTTCTGGTCCGAGCTTCCAGTTATATTTTGTAGTTGTTTTTCCTTTACTATTTAACTATTTCCATCATCAGGGCGTCGGAGGAACCGAAGTGGGTTTGCTCTGTTCAAGGTTAGCTACTGCCTCTGGTCCGCATATTTGAGTCAATTCCTCCTGTTATAGTAGCAGAAGCAAATCATAATATTTGTTAATGAGATACGCTAAGTTTCAGACTGGATGAGGTGAACATTTGCACTGAATTAAGTCCAACATAAATAAACAATTAGTAAAAAGCAAAAGACCAAGCCGTTACAGATTGGCAAGAGGTGGGCAGGATCTGTCAAACCTTAATAGAAGTATTTTCGGCTGTAAGCTTCTCGCATTCTTCAGAAAGCCTCTGCAGCTCGTCCCTAAGGTTACGGTTCTCAGTGGTCAATGTCTCCACCCTCGCTTGTAGCTCTTCACATTCCGCCTGGTTGTAATGGCAGATGATGATAACTTGGTGGACCATATTTTTGGGCTCAAACGAAAGACAAAAGGAGAGAGTACCACCATACCTGCTTTCGTAATCTTGACCTTCTGGCTGACTCCCTATTAGATTGCTTCCGTTTCTGTCTTTTCAGTTCACGTTCATCCTACAGGGAATATAGAGTGAGCTCAGTGAAAAAAAAAGTTGTAGGACCATCACAAGCGAATAAATTCTCTACTCAAAAACAAAACTTGAACAATGCATCAAGTAAAAAAATAGACTCAGATTAGAAGAAAAAAATCAGATGAAGCCAAACTTCAATCGGGAGAAAGCAATAAAAAGCGGATAAAGTCTGTGACTAGATGCACTAAGGGGCAGCATTAACACATTTTCCCTCTAATTGTAAGAGATAAGTTGAATAAATCATAAATAACTCAAAATAGGAAAGGAGTACATGCACATAAGAAATTTAAACAACTGCCTGCAAGACTCATACTTGAATCCATTGGTCAGGCATTACGCCTTCACGTCCGATCATTGCTGCAGGAGCAACAACTGCAGATGGAGTCCCAGATGGCCTCATTTTTGCAGCTCCAGCCGCAGCAGGGGATGCATTCCACAAGTCCATTCCAATATTAAGATTAGTTGCCGGCATAGACGCCACAGGCTTCCCAGCCACTGGAGCTTGAACTGCCTCGCCAGTGCTACTCTGTGCATTAGCTATTAAAAGAGTCACTATAGTTAGAAAATTTTAACAGCAAATAGCACACATGCAGGAACCGTAAGGATGAAAACGTACCATCTGCAAGCATCTGGTCAAAGGTTCCCTTTTTACCCACAGCGAACTCCTAAAGAAAGAAAAATTAGGTGTCTAAATGGTCTAAGAACTTAAAATCATACTGTTAACTTTGCTATTTATCAGGCTAGGTTGGTTTTTTCTTTTTTTAAAGGGGAGAAGGCATATTACAAAAAACTTATGTGGAAATTGAAATTGCAACCAGTTTCCCAGAAGGGTTGGTATTTTCTTTTTTTAAAGGGGAGAAGGCATATTAGAAAAAACTTATGTGGAAATTGAAATTCCAACCAGTTTCCCAGAAGAGGCTGCAAGGGAATGAGTGAGTTGGTTTAGCTTTTCCAATTAAATGATATACCACACCAGCAATAACAACAGGGATACCAGGTATGTAAACAGATACCTGCTGATTTGCGTTTTCATCACTTGCATCTGATGAACCCTCACTACCACTTTCAGCACTGAATACAAGAAACTCTACAATCATCAGCAACATAGATGCAAATGTCGGGAAGATTTTAAATCATTATATGAACATATTGAATAAATTTTTGCAAGAATGATATACACCTTTGGGAGCCAGCATCATTCCCAGAACCTGAAGCTGCCTTGGCAATCTCTCCAACCTTGCCTCCTGAAGTTCCCTTGGATTTTTTATTTGAAGTACGGTCCTTCCCTTCAGCTCCTTTTCCTTCCAGCTCAACATTTGTTGGTGCCGAGCTTGGAGTCTACAAGAGCAAAACGGAAACAAAATGATGAAATTACACTGACTCGGCCATATTAGGATGGCACTACTGATAAAAGGAACCTGGAATTGAAAAAGGGATCTGAACACACTGGACAATTTACAAATGATTAACACTTAACATAGTTATTTTTACCGTAGCCATAGTAGGATGGGCATAGACTCCCCCAGGAGGATATATAGCTGGGTAAGGAACTGGGGTCCCATATGGTGGCATTAAAGGATGCTGAAAGATTTTAGAAGAAAATAAATAAAAATGTATTTCCGACTGTTAGATAGAGAGACATACTATTGCAATGATGAATGAACACACCTCAATAACTCAAAAAAATGAGGTATTCACCTGGCTTCCCCACAGATAGGGGTGAGGAGTTGGAGAAGCAACAGTTGAAGCGAAAAAAGGAGGTGGTGCAGCCCCAGCACCATAAAAAGCCTATACAAGGAGCTTAACAGTAAGATCCTAAGATTACTAATTCATGCATAATATTTTTCTAGATATTCTACAAACAAAATCATAGCAACATATTTATATACAAGATAAACCTGCATAGAGCTTGACCAATCATGGTATGCTGGTGTAGCTGGAATTTCCTGTAAAAACAGAAAAAATTAGTGAACTGAATGGAAGGGAAATAGAGAGAGACAGAGAAAGACAGACCTGAGTTGAAGAAGCTGGTTTAGAAGGCTTGGCAGGTGTGTTCTCCTCCCCAGTTCCCATTCAGATGAATTCAATAAACCCAATTAATTTAAAGACTTTTTTTTATCTGAATTGTATCCTTGGTAAAATTTATGAAGCATCTGAAAACATCATACAAAAAACTAAAAACATCAGAAATGAAAAGCTTCTGTTATAAAATTGCCAGCCATTATTGTTTATTGTCTATAAATAAGCAAAGCAATAATTTTACCATTTGATATAGATAAAAGGTTGGAAGAGAAGCTTCCTCCATATTACCAACACTACTATCGTCCACAATATCAGTTCATTTGAGTTCCTCATCAGAAGCAAAAAGATAGCAAAAATTTCAAATACCCGAGGACTACCAAATATTAGACAAGCTTGAACTGAGACTATAATTCTTTCATCTTCAAACTGATTTATCAGAAATTAAAGGGCCTTTCATCACTGAAAACCTCAGATAATAGAGTACCGTGACCTTGTATCTAAACTTCATAGGGATTCAAGAATGATATGATAATCCTAAAGTATTTCTATTTTCTGCTCCATGTCAATTTGCCATGGGCTCCTCAATCCTGCCTCCTTAACCCTGAGAAAACTACAATTAAATTTGCACACTACATATTGCTCCAAGAGACCCATCCCCCCGATTATGTAGCTGAATGTAAAATCCTTTATCTGAATGATTGAATCCGTAAGTTTAATATGACAATCTATTTACAGACAAGAGTACTGAGATTCTGAGCAGAACTTAAAAAGGCAAGAAAAATTCTTGAGATATTTAATCCGGTTAATGCCTTTTTTGCAATAAATAATGACTATTCAGATAAGTGACAGGCTGTAGTTGATACAACTCCCTTATCTTGGTCACATTAGATAAGGTAAAAAGTTCTTTCTACACCAATTCTACTAGCTACTGGATCCTACTACAATGAGTGCCAGCAGCATTAAATAAGGTGCTCATATCCTACTCAAGTGAACATACCCAACTATATCAATAGAACTTATGCATTTACACATTTATAGAAGGGGCTTTGTGCACCATAACAACTTAATCACAAAAGTTAATTCCTCTTTCACCTATGATCACCATTTTATACAAAGAAAGACAAGGTGGAGTCGAGCTTTTGGAGTAAATATTATAATACTGAAGATGACGATTTCAGAATATTGTTTTGCAGAGTACGCTACAAGAAGATATGAGAATTATCAAAATTTAATTTACTGACAACAGGTTAAGAAAAAAAAAAAAAGAGTGATGAAAATATAGCAATATCTCACACCCAAAGTCACTAAAATAAATGAAGAGCCTAAATAAAATCAAATACCAACAAGAAAAGACACCAAAATCTTCTATATAAAAACTTCCTTCTCTCATTACATTTCACTTTATTCTTCTATATAACTTTCTGCTACAGGATGGAATAAAAAAAAGTTGAAACATATAAGTCGCCATATTGATGGAACAACTAGGGAAAGACAACAAAATTTCACACGAGAGAGGCTATTCATGTTATTGTATCAAATTGTATTTGCTGTGTTTAACATTCATGTAGTAAAGCATCATTTGTTCATGTAATATAACAATTTAGATGCCATCAACTGCTTCCTCCGTCAAGTTCCCCAAAAAAGAAAACACTATTATTAAATTTCCAATTCTGCTACCCTCATTAAAAGTATAATTACAAAACCACGAAAGAACCATCTAGATATAAACAAACGAATCAACTAATTCATATCTGTAAATTCTTTCCAAATAAATCTACACCTATTGGTGCATGTTCTGTCTTCAGTTTCCAACAAGCTAGCTTAAGGTTTAACAATTGCTAAGTTACCAAAAGAAAAACCAACATAAAATCATTTACCTCATATTGGATATTCCAGTTATGAAGCAATAATAAGTACTCACACTAGTAATTAAACCACAACGCAACATTACAACTCAACACCATATTTGAAGATTCACAGCTAATCACTCAAGCTAACTAATAACTCGTTACAAATCGAAGACATATCAATTTAATAAACCATTCAAGACACAAATAGCCAAACTACTAAAACAAGAGAAAACGCATCGAGAAATAGAAGCTGAAAAACCAAATCACATCAGAACAACTCAATAAATTACTACACCCAAAGAGCAGGTTCTTAAGACATGCAAGAACAAATTCAATTGTTTGATGGAAACAACAACGGGAAACTCATCAAAGATCCTGAACTAACCCGTGGAGTGTAGATACTAGTTCAAGCATCACTCAACAAATACTATAATTTTAATATTACTATTTCGAAAAACGAGAGAGAAAGACATAGAAAAGACCTGCTTTCATGGCCTGTGAAGCGAATGAGGTGGAAAGTCCAAGTGTCTTACTTATATTAAGTAAGAAAGAGAAAGAGAAAGATAAAAAGGGCAAAGGAAAGAAAAAGATTCCAAGACAATCAATCAATCCCTTAAGGAAGACGGTAAAATTCGGGTTCAGAAAGATCAACGGTTGAGCGTTGTGGGTAAAGAAAAATCTGCAGTACGAAGACAGAAGCAATCCCAGTTGCGTTGCGTTGGCGTTGTCTTAAACAGAGTGAAATTGTTGATCTGCTGTGGCGGTGTCTATAGGAGGAGGTGGAGTGGAGCTGGAGTTGAGGTGGTGGTGAGGGGAAAGGGTTAGGGTTTGCGGGGTGACACGTGCGAGAATGAGGATTCCAGCTGTCCACGTTTTACTGGATTAGGTTTGACATTGCATCAATTTGTATGACTCATCAATTAGCATTCTATTTGGATAATCTTTTTTTTTTTTTTTACCAACTCCATGTATGTACCATCCTAACCAACTTCTCGTCTTATCCCGGTTCTTCCTCTCCGGTTTTTACTCCCTTCTCTCTCTGCTTATCACTTCCTCATTTAAATTCACTGCTTCGTTAGCTTGTACTTTGTACGGTCTGTTAAAGTTTTGTTTTTTTTGGATGAATATCAATAAACTCCTTGAATTTGAGTATACAATAAAACCCCTAGGTTTAGTAAATACTAACAAACTTTCCGTTGCTATCATGAGTTACTCTCGATGTCTTGATATTAATTTCATTAAGAGTCCTGAGCAGAGAATTATTCTTCATATTTTATTCAAAATTTTGGGAAATATTGAAAAATTTTAACGTTGGCAAACTAATCTATCTCAAATGACATTAAAAAGAAGGTTCGATATAGATCGAAAAAGTGTAAATTTAAAGGAAAGACATTTGTGGGCAACTATGTTATATAAATATATATTTGTGATATGAAACCACCCATCTCCTTACCACTATATAGCAAGGATGATTATGAAATGGGTGTTTGTCATTTTCATAATTCATTCTCTCCAACCTACATCTATATGTCTTTTTTCTTTTCACTCTTCTGTGAATATACAACTTCACTTTGATTTAAACATAAAAAAGTGTCATTTATAAATTACTGAAAATTGAACATCGTCTTTTTTAAATACAGATCAACCTAAAATATATATTCAGTGCACCCTTTTATAATTTAATTTTAATTATTATGTCAATAATGATTTTTTTTTTCTTTTTTGGTGATCTAAGGTGTTTGAGCCAGCTTGTAATACTTCAATAATCTAAGACCCTGAAGTTGACAAGTAAAGTAAATTCTCTCAGTGATCACCTATTAACAATTCAGATAGATCAAACTCAGGACCTCGAGTAATATACCCAAGAGTCCTAATGATCTCTCAGCCACCAATAATGAAAGTTCCTGGCAATCTTTATTAGAATTTAGTGAATTTGTTATATATTGAAGTTGATTGTGTAGATGTTGGAGTTAATCACTTGCTAGAAATGTGATTTGTTTGTAAAGGAAGAAGAGTATGATTTGAGTGTTAGTGTTGTTAATCAGATGGTAAAGAAAGCATGTTGGATGACACGTTGTCCAATAACCTTAGATGTGATAGGCGAGTATTTACCTTTTTTTTTTATAATTATTATATGATGCATTTTGACATTTGAGGAGGGGAAAAAATCAATGGGTAGTGAGAATCCAGTATCAACCAGAAAGGCCTCATGTAAATTCAATACCTTATCATTTCATGCAAAACAAAAGGGTTATTATAACCATCACTGGAGCAAAAAAAATGTTTTATGAAGTTTTGAGTTCGGTCCTCAAGGTGCTAATAGAGGGTGAATATTGAAGGATTTACCGGTCGTTAATTTTAGGGCCCGTAAAACTAGTTAAGGTATGTGCAAACGTTCATAAAAAAAAAAATAATAGCAAAACCAAAATATATATAAAAATAAATACTTCAGAAATATTTAATAAGATAAATGGATTTTTATATCTTTTTATCAAACTGTGTGTAGATTAACTTCAGAATGTGTAAATTAAGGCTTCGTTTGGTTCACAATTGGGTGTTTTTGGGAAAAATTTTCTGAAAAAGTTAAAAAAAAGTTGATTTGGGGGTATTACGATGCAGGATTTATAAATTAATAAAATACCCCCTATATTGTTTATTTACAAAACACCCCTATATAAAATCTTAAAAGTTAACAAAAACACCCCAACCCAATGTCAAATACGGACAGCCGGCCACCACCGCCGGGGATGGCCGGGTTCACCGTATTGGCGCATGACCGACTGGATCTTGCCGGTCGTGCGCAGATATGGCCTTTGCCGGTCAGACTGGCCGTATTTCTCGTCAACGACGCACAACAAACGGTGTCGTTGATGGGCAACGACGACCGTTTGTGGCCGTCGTTATAAACCGTTACGGCCAAAGATCTGGCCGTCAACGGCCAGATCTTTGGTTAGATCTGGCCTTCCGGCCAGATCCACCGTGGATCGACCGGAAAAGGCTAGATCGGCGCACTAACGGCCAGATTCAGCCGGTAGTGCGCCATCCTAAAAGATTCGGCCATTTCCGACAGTGGTGGCCGGAATTTGGTAAATATGAATTACTGGGGTGTTTTTGTAATTTTTTAAAAAATATTTAGAGGTATTTAATTAATTCAAATTTAAGGGTTTAAAAAAAGTTGAATAATATTGGGAGTAGTATTCCAAAATCAAAGTTTTTGGGTATTTTCTGTTTAACTTTTTTGGAATACTAAAAGTAGTATTCCCAATTGGCAACCAAACGGAGCCTAAGTGTTGCTCACACTGATCTTATGGACCAAAATCGTACCGACAGGTCCCGCACTATTTAGGATGATGTTTAAGCAAAAATTAAACGGTATTAAAACCAGATTACAGAAAAATTATTTATTATCTTATATTTTAAAATCAAAATACTAGATACTCAAGCAATCACATTATTGGGATACAAAATTGGGATCCTAACTATGTATATTTAGGCTCCGTTTGATTGGTTTTTGAGAATACTATTAAGTATTCCCAAAAAAGTTAAACAGTAAAATGCCCAAAAACTTACAATATTATCCAATATTATTCAACTTTTTTTAAACCTCCTAAATTTGTTAATTAATTAAATACCCCTAAATATTTTTTTTCGAAATTGTAAAAACACCCCTAAACCCACATATACCAGATTCGGCCATCATTGCCGGAAGTTGGCCGGAATCTGATATAATGGCGCACTACGGCTGAATCTGGCGTGGTAGTGCGCCGATCTAGCCTTTTCTGGCCAGATCCACGGTGGATCTGGCCGGAAAAGGCCAGATCTTTGGCCGTAACCAGACGTCAACGAGCAAATGCGGCCAGATTCACCGTGGATCTGGCCGGCAAAGGCCATATCGACGCATGATCAACAAGATCCAGTCGGTCATGCGCCGATCAGCAGACTCCAGCCACCCTCTGATGGTGATAGTCAGCTGTGATATTCAATGGGTGGGGTGGGGGTGTTTTGTTAACTTTCAAAGTTTTATTATAGGGGTCTTTAGAAAAAACAAACATAGGGGTATTTTTATTAATTTTCAAATCCTAAATCGAATACCTGTCCAATTCAACTTTTTTCAAATTTTTTCTAAAAAATTCAAAAAGTGAACCAAACGGAGCTTAGTATCAATGGAAATTTAGAAAATAAGCATGAAAAATCTGAATCCCCAATAAAAGTATTTAAGCATTGACATAACAAAGTAAAAGAAACATTCATCTTACATCTTCGTAAAGTATGAGAATTTCAAACTGTCACTTGATGGCTGAGCAGTCAACTAGATTTTTAGGTGTATTACTCAAGAAGTCTTGAGTTTGATCCATCTGGATTGTT